GATGTTTGAGGACTGTTCAGTAAACTGTTCAGGAACAGAGGAGAGATCTGGATGAAGACATAAATTTGTGAGCTATCTATGTAGAGGTAGTAGACATAAAGCAGCGGACATGCATGAACTCATCAACCGAGAATGCATAACATGAGAAGAAGGTTTAAAAGTCAAACCTTAAGAAAATTCAACATTTAATGACTGGATACTGAAGGGTGAATTTACAAAAAGATCCAAGAAGGGCAGCCCAGAGGGTAGGAGGAAAACTAAGAGAACTTTATGCCAAAGAACCAGTTTGTGTGGGTGGCGTATCAAGAATAGAAGTCAGACCATTGTGGGAGGAGAAATTAGTGTGAAGTATAGAGTCAATGGATATGGAGTCAATGACTGTAGACTCACTAGAGAAGTTTGCCTTTGAAGAGGAGAGCTACAGAGCAGTATTTGTGAAGTTGAAAAACATGTTTCTTGTACTTTAATGAAAGGCATTGGAGCATATTGATCAGCTGTGAAAAACATTGATTTGAAAGAGAGCTGAATAGACAAGAGAAAGAAAGACTAATGGTGTGAGATTCAAAAACAGCAAGGAGTGATCCCTGTGCACCCATGATAATCCTACACTTAACCCTTCATTAATTCTGACCACACTTGTCATTCCTCCCTTAATATCTCTATTCCTCCTTAGCCTGTACTGCATGAGGACTAGCATCGCCTTTGCCTCATTTACTTCTGTATCCCTCGTGTGTAGTACAGTATTCAGATAAGAGGCATTAATAAATGTCATTTTAAATTGCACATTAAAATGAGGGAAATTGGAGGTACATTTAATGAAACAGACCATCCTAGAAGTCTTAGGATACTATACCATATGCTTATATATGTATGCACACATGCACAATCATAAGTTTTTTAGGCTAAAGTTAAAATTGGTGTCATTACCTTAATCAGAAGGTATTTGGGCATTAAGACAAGAAGGCCTTAGAATAAGATACAAATTGAAAGTCAACCAAGAACTAATAACTCTCCACAAATAGATGAGCAAGGCCATGAGTCACTTTTGAGCAGAAAAATTGAGGTCTGATTATATCAAAGAAACAAATAGTGAAAGCACAACCTGTTAGGACAAGTGGATGCATCACTCACCAATCCGGGTGAAACCCCACTTAACAGGATTTCTGCATCTGAGATGGTTTGATAACCTACCAAGTCAAGAAAACTTCTTTAAATGAAAACCCTTACTTCATTTTCGGAGGCAATGTTAAATGCCTCATTTAGAGAAGCAAGTCCATGCAGCAATAAAGAAATCAGGTATGCATTCCTTTCTTAATAAACAGATCTTGTTTTTTATTGTTCCTTTATTCAACTAGTAATACAACAAATAATTGAGCGTATTCTGTGTGCCAGACACTTCTCCATGGGCCGTAGACCTATCAATGAACATAACAGATAAAAATGCTTGTGCTCATTGGACAGACAATAAACAGATAAGTAAAAATAAAGATAGTGTATTAAATCGCTGAGAAGAAAAATAAAGCGATGGAGATTAGAGAGTTTCAAGATTAGGGTTGCAACTTTTAAATACAGTGGCCTGGGAAGGCCTAATTGAGAGAGTGGCATTCAAGTGAAAATCTGAAGGTCACAAGGGCATACCATAGGTACCTTGGGGCCAATGTGGGTAAAGAACGAGCCTCCGGCACAGGAACCAGTGAGGAATGCTTAGCGTGCTCGAGGAATATAAGGACTCTGTGTGGCTAAAGTGGAGTGAGCGAGGTGGGTTGGTAGGAGAAACATCAGAAGAGTGCCCAGCAAGCTTAGGTAGGGCCTTGAAGAATCACCTAGGGATTCTGGCTTTTACTCTAAGTGAGAAAGGAAGCAAAAGGTTTGAGCAAAGTAGTGGCATGGCCTGCCTTGCATTTAATCCAGATCAATCTGTCTGCTCCAATGAGAATAGGCTATAGAATAGACGGTAGCAAAGGTGAAAGCAAAGTGACAGGAAGCTGTCGTAGTGGTTCCAGTGAGAGGTGATGATGGCGTGAACCCAGATAGTAGTGGAGGCAATGGTAAGGAGTAAATATTTGGGGCATATTTGGAAAGCAGAGCCAATAAGATCTAAAAATGGATTGGATGTGGATTATGAGGAAAAGAAAAGTCCAAAATGACTCCGCATTTTCTGCCCCAAGCTACTGTGAAGTGATATAGTAGTCATTGATTTGAGAAGTGAAAGATGTGGGAGACATATATTTGCTATTGGATGACGGGAGGAGGGGAAAGATGTGCAGGAATTAGGATGCAGGCATGATGATGATGTCATGGAAGTGTTAGGTTGGAGATGCTCCAAGTTGAAATGTGTAGTGGGCAACTGGGTATAGAACTCTGGAGTTCAAGGAGGAGTCAAGGCTGGAGGTAGACATTCAGGAGTCATCTACAGATAGATAGGATGTGGTTATGGTTGTTATACCTATTCCGTATTATAAGATGATTCCATGCAGACCAAAAGTACATTGCAAACAACATCTGAGGAGTAGAGGCCTGGCATTAGAGATATTACCAAAAGCTGCAAATGTAAGTTTTATTTTCCCAGAAGGAAATAGAATGTCAGGAATGTTTGTTTAAAAAAATATATAACTAGCATTCAGAATTTGAATTGCTCCTAATTTGCTTAATTGAGGAAACAGTTTTACAGTGAGTCGGGTTATAATTGTATAAATGGAGTTTGAAAATCAATTATAGATTTATGGTATTACATTTTGGGGATATTATAAATTATCTTGACAAAAATTAATCAGGTACATGATGGTCACACAACACCTTCTTACACTAGTTAAAACAAGATTAGGAAGACAGAATTGCCTCTAATTTATGGACAAACAATATTATGCATCGGAATTCCATAGGATAGTTCTAACAATTTAATTTCTGCTTATTCTCACAAATGCGTCAGCCTTAAAAAAAAAAAAAAAGAAAAAGTTGACTAGCTTTGCTTCCTTTTCTAGTAAAATATTTCAGTTAGAACAGGTATTCAAGCTGACTTGGCTGGATCTAACAACCACCTCTTCCCTCTTAGACAGTGTTTCTCAACCTTTCTGTCATTATTGACTTGCCCCACCAAAGAAGCTTCTTAGGTACTTTTTCCCCAATCCACTCCATGAAAATGTTTTATTGTGGTAAAATGGACATGACCTAATATTCATCATATTAACCATTCGTAAGTGTGCAATTTGGTGTCATTAAATACATTCACAATATTATTATATAACCATCACCATCTATACCCAAAACATTTTCATTACCCCCAACATAAACTCTAAACCCATTATACAACAACCCCTCATTCCCTACTCCCCCTTAGTCCCTGGTAACCTCTGTTATACTTTCTGTCTCTATGAACTTGCCTATTTAAATGGAATCATATGATATCTTTCTTTCTGTGTCTGGCTTATTTCAGCATAATGTTTTCCAAGTCCATCATGTTGTAGCACATATCAAAATTTCATTCCTTTTTATGGCTGGATAGTATATCATTGTATGTATAGACATTTTGTTCATCCATTTATCTGTTGATGGATAGTTGGGTTGTTTCAATCTTTTGGCTATTTTCAATGATATTGCTATGAACATTGGTGCACAAACAGCTGCTTGTGTCCTTGCTTTCCATTTTTTTGGATATATACCTAAGAATGGAATTGCTGGGCCTATGCAATTTTAATATCCCAGATAAGCTATGTATCTTTTGATGTTCTGTATATATATATGTAACTGTGCCTTACCATATAAAGAGTAAGATTTCTTCGCCACCCTCCCAGAATCAATTTTTACCTCTTTGAGGGGACAGTGCTGTCACCCTCATTGAGACTGTAAGCTCTAAGGTAAAAATCCCCAAATTTCTGGCCTTGGATGAAGTATCCAGATGTAATATATTCATAGGTAAACTTATAAAGAGGAGTGAAGCCATGGTTGGTAAGGAAAATGACCCCAAAACACATAAGTCTAGAAAGCAATTTTTATTCCTCAGGCAATAAAATTATTTATGTTTTATGCAGTCTTCAAAGTTGACAACAGTTGATAAAGTAATGAACCCAAGAATGTTTTGGAAAATAACTCTTAGCAGTTGTGTCAGAAACCAGTGGTGCAATTATTCTACTAAAACTTTTGGAAACAGTGGAGATTAATTATGTTGTATTCCCACTGAGCCTAAAATATCTCCAGAACACAAAAGTTCCTATTTTACATAGTATGGAAAGTAGGAAAAAAAGAAAAAAAAAAAACAAATATGGAATTTAAAAATCAGGTTGTGGGAAGCCAGGTATCAATAAGGTTATGAGATGGTTCTGTCAGTATATGGAATACATATTGGTATCTAGTTGCAAGGCAGTATGGCAAGATTCGTGGCACGTATTTACCAAGGTTTTATTATAATGTGGTTGCCTAATGCTGCATTGTTTCATTATATAAAGAAGAGATTAAGAAGATCGTGTAACAGTATTTAAAAAAACAAATACCTGACCAGAACCCTTCAGGTGTTTAAGGATAGTCAAGGAGAGACTGAGGAACTGCCAAGTTGGAGGAGACTAAGGAGACCTGACCATTAAATACAGCGTGGAATCCTGGACCACATAAAGGACAATAATGGGAAAGCGGGACCGAATAAAGTCTGAGTAGTAGTCATACTGAGTAGTACTGTGCCAATGTTAATTGCTTCGTTTAAGTAATTGTACCATGGTTATACAAGATCTTAACATGCAGGAGGGAAGCTGAAGGAAGGGCAAACTGGAACTCTCTCTACTACATCTGCAACTCTTCTGTCTGTGTAAAATTATTTCAGAGTAAAAAGTAAAAGAAAAGAAACAAATGACAACAAAGTTTCTGGTAGCTCTGAGCTGTCAGAAGCAAACCTGGGACTAGCAATGCTGAAGAATGGTTGGAGTAGGGCGTCCATATTTGTAATATTAGCAGCTTTGAAATCTGACACAAGAGTGACTCTTGTCTTTGTCTCTTTTCTAATTCTGTTACAGGGTGTATTGGCTGCATCATGTAACTGGGATGTGGGTGTACCCTTTCCTGGAACACATTGGCCCAGGAGCCAGAATCATCTTCTTTGGGTCTGCAGCCATCTTAACAAACTTTTTGTACCTGCTGGGAGACGCTCTGAACAGCTATATGTGGGACACACAGAGAAGTGAGTATTATTTAGGGGAGCATAAAACAAGAAAGGTAGCAATGAGGTATGTGCAGTAAAGGGTAATACTTTATTGCTACAAAACCTCACTTAACCTATGACTTGATTTCTCTTTTGTTTCTATTTATAGCAGAGCCTCCATCTTGGCAAGGCACATAAACTTCCCCAAGCTGTGCAAAACCCATCGAAAGTGTATGTAAGATAACATAAAAACGGGAAGGTGGAAAAAGCAACAGCGCAGATATGTAGTGATATGAGCCTTGCATGAAAATACATCCAAAGGCAAGATGGCTTGGGGATGTTAGAGAGCTCTGGACCTCTCTCCTCTGATACAATCACAGCATTCTAGATGTAACCAGTAAATGATCTATGTTCCACAAACATTGAGTACAGTGCTTCGTGCCAGACACTATGCCAGGAACTTGATCTAATTAGACAAATAAAACACAGTCATTGGAAGGTTATTGAGTTTTGGGTGTATGTGGATCCTCTAATATGATATGCATCAAAGTCTTAGCCAATGTTAAATGGCTTGGAGGAATTTAAAGCTTTCTTTTCTCAGCAGCTGGCTTGATTTTAATAAGTGGTCTATTAGAAAAAGTGTCAAATTGTTTTCAGTTCAGGCCACAGCTTGGGAGACCAGAAATTAACCTTTTGATAATTTTCCTCTCTGTTCAATGGGAATAATAATCTTTCTCTACTAATTAACTTATAAAAGTATTTCATTAAGTTCCAAAAATGTATTGAGAACCAAATGTAAACTTTCTCAGCTTCTTGGGATAAAGGCCGTATTTCAATTTAAGCTAACACATTCAATATGTGTTATTTAGGAAGTATTTATGACAGACTGTTTTCCCTTGATTAGCTTGATTCCAGTGGTCATTTGGCCATTGTTCTACTATTTCTAAGAGAAGATGGCCTGAAACCAGGAGAGAAAAAAATCCAATCTAGACTAACAGAATACTGCTTTTTAGCAGCTTGAACTGAAAAATTAAGAATGAATAGAGAAACTAAGTTTCTTTAAATGATCTATTAGATTTAATTTGTGCCATTCTCTTAAATAACTTGAGTGAAAGTTGACTAACATTTTGTAATTCATGTCAGATATAGAGCTTAATTTTATCTACATAGGACCATCTAATTAACTGCATAGAGGCAGATGTTTTGTGCCAAGTGGGCATCTCTTTCATATATGAGAGGGATGACCGATGGCCTCCTCCAAGTTTTACCCGCCAAAAAGTTTCATTAGGCCCACATCCTGGGACCTTTGTTTTGGAACCAGTATCTTAAAATTGGGCGATTTCACTGAAAGACCAGATTTTTTTTTTAATCTCATCAAATATTTTAAGATCTGGCAACAATGAACCCACTGTTCTCTTCTGACAATAGATAGATTGGAATTAAGTATCAGTTGCCCCCTTAGATGGTGCTCTGATTTTCCCTAGTCCTTACTTGGCCGCTTTGCTCAAGTCACATTAGCTGCCTGGTTCTGTAAGTAATTGAATTTGAAACTGCTGATTAAAAGCAGTATGTGTCCTCTGTGTGTGTGTCTTGTTAGAATGAGTTGAATAAAATCAAATGCAGTATTACAGTCCTGAGTACATTGACTACACCCTAAACAAAATTCCCCAAGAATACCATAGTCAAGCCCCCTTCTTTGTATCCATAATGATTTTTAATGAATCAACTTCCTCCACTTGGTTATGGTATGTTGGCCTCAACTACAAGAGAAAAATCACATTATTACAAAATCTTAGAACGTAAAAAGGAGGTTAGAAATCACCTAAAGCAACCCTTTCCTTTTACTAAGAGGCAGCTGAGGCCCAGAAACCTTAAGTAACAAGATAGGTGATTGCAGAGCCAACACCTCTGACTGATGGTCAATCCAGTGTTTTTTCTAGTGAACCATCAGAATGTCACCATTGGAAAACACGACACATGAGTTCAGAAACTTCACTCAAAACCATGGACCTAACATAAAATAACAAAACAGACCAACCTGATATGAACTATGAAAAAAAAAGTCCTTACAATAGGCTAAATTAGTAGTTAAGTATTTGCTCTTTTTAAAGGAAAGTAACTCCAGGTGGCTTTGTGGATGTTGCGCTGGTTTGCTACGGCTGCTACAATGGAGTACAGCAAACTGGGTGGCTTTAACAATAGGAATATAATGTCTTGCAGTTCTGGAGGCCAGAAGCCTGAGTCAGGGGATTAGCAGAGTCAGTTCCTTCTGAGGACTGTAGGGAGATTCCGTTCCAGGTCTCTCTCCTTAGTTTGTCGATGGCCATCTTCAGGTTCACGTGCCATTCTCACTTATATGTGAGGCTGTCTGCAGATTTCTCCTTTTTATAAAGGCATCAGTTGTATTTGACTGGGCCTGCCCTGGTAACCTCGTTAAAACTAGATAAAGACCTCGTCTCCGAATAACAGTCACAATTCTGAGATGCTGGGAGCTAGGTTCGGTAAGACACAATTTAGCCCATAACACTGCCTTCTGCCCCCCAAAATTCATGTCCTGGCAGCACCCAAAGTCTTTCAAGCCTCAGCTCTTAAGTCCAAAAGCTCACCTTAAAAGTCACCTAAGTTACATATGAGTAAAACTGGGAGGGATTTATTCTGGAGCAAAATTGCTCTCCAGTTGTGAACCTGTGAAACCAGACAAAAAGTTACCTGCTTCCAGAGCACCGTGCTTGGACAGTCATGGACTATGCCTTCTCTTTCCAAAAGAAAAAAATGGCAGGATAAAAAGGGGTCATGGTCCCTAACCAAGTTTGAAAGCCAGCAAGGCAAATTCCACTGGATTTTAAGGAGTGAGAATAATCCCCATTGGCTGCATGCTCTGTCCCCAGGATGCACCAGGAGGGGGCTGTGGCCCTGCACTCTTGGCCATGAGCAACAGCCCTACCCTCTGAAACCAAGGAGCCAGCGTCTAAAGTGCCTTCAGAATCATTCTCCCTCCATTTCATCCCTTTTCTTTCAATCCATACTGACAGTGTTTCTGCTAGTACAAAATTCCCAAAAACCTTTTCCATATAATTCATGGGGGTCCGAATCATCAGACAGGGGCTCCCCCACAGGTCATCCCTGGCTTCTGCTGAGATAGTCAATTGGATCCACAATCACATGCCTAATCTCTTTGACAAACAGTGGTCCATCCATAACCTTGGCCTTCTCTTCACATTCTGAGGTCCTGGGGGTTAGCGCTTCAACATATGAATTGGGGAGAAGGGGACACAATTTAACCTTTAACAGCTGAAATAGCTCTGTACCTTGATTAAGCATTTATTTCAGTTCCAGTGTATCAACTGGGCTGACCAGTCTTATTAAAGTCAAACTTCATACGACCAGAAAGGAAAGTGTCCAAAAGTGAAAGGTTGAGGTGAGGGCAGAGAGATCAGGCAAAAGGAGGAAGAAGTTGAAGCCAGGCCTGTGTGATAGCACCCCGCTCCCACTCCTCAAGCTGCCCATCTGGCTCATGTGTCACACAGGTCTGCAGTGCCCAGCACTGCCCTCTGGCTGAGCTCCTCTCCCAGCCTTGGGGACTCACAGGTGACTGACTCTTTCGGGGTCAACCAGTTCTTCCTCTGTGTTTCTGAAAGGGCATCCTGCCTCAGCTTTGTGACAGGTTTCCGCTGTTCGTGTGGAAATTATGCCTCTGGTTCTTCCCAATATTATTTACAGCTGTCTCATTTTTTCCCTCTCCCTCCAAGCTGCCAAATGAAAGTAGGTGGGGAGCCATTTTCCCTGTCCGGGTCAGTGAACACCCCCTGTTCTCCATCCCTGCTTTTGAAGATTCCAGTCTTTCTGCCAAGTCACCCCATCTGCAGGAGAGCACTTAGGAGGAAACAGACTTTTAAAAGAAAAGCAGGCAGTTAGCTCCTGATGGCTTCTCCGCAGGGATGAACATGGGATGAAGTTGGGACCCAAGTCATGTGTGCTGTGTGAACGGAATCCATGCTGTGTTTTGCTGTCTTTGCCTTGGTTACCCAACAACTAAGACATCGCCTGTCTTTTCCACCTCAACCTTATCCCTCCTCCCTTCAGATATCCCGACTCCTCAATTTGAAGTTTTCCCTAATATGATTTCTGAGAAGTACTTTGGAAAAAGTGTTACGGATCTCTGCCAGTTCCCTAGTCATGAAAACCAAACCTAAAGGAATGTCTAAGGACACCTGTTCAGAGCATATTACTCGCATTCCACCGCCACCTCTCTGATCCCCAAAAAACACACAGGAGGAGCTGGGGGAAGGAGGGTCTTAATGTAAACCTTATCTTGATGGTCCTCTGAGGTTAGGCTTTATAATTTCTTATATTGTGAAGTTCCATATTCTACTGCTTTCCCACTAGTCTTGCTAAGGCCGCCTCTGTGATCGTTGTTTATTAATTGATTCCATAAAGATTAATTGAGCTGCTACTGAGACAGACACTGTACTAGGTGCTAAGGATATAAGCTGGAAGAAAAGGGGGCTCTGTCTTCAGAGAGCTTGCAATTTATAAAAGAATACCAACAAAACCTTGGAGACAATATTTGGGGCTTTTTCTGTTCTGCTGAAGTCTCTGAGAATTTGATATCAGAGGGAAAATCTTGAGCTAGAAGCAAAAGAAAAAAGAAGTGGGGAGCATTTTCCAGATTTAAGTTTAATTCATAAGAATGACTTGAGAAAAAAATGAAAAATCATTAACTAACGATTCATTATGAATCACAGACAGAGGTCTTACTGGTCTCTCAGGAAGAAAAACAGTTTTACTGGGACTGGGTTGAAGAAAGGGAAAAATCAAGTTTAAGGACACTCAGGTATGGAAATAAACAGTTCTTGTGGATAATGAGCTCTCTATGAGCTTTAAAAAAAAAAAAAGATTTCTTGACTAGTGAAAATCCAGAGTCCTTGCCTTGGGAAGAAGATACAGGACTGAAATAAAAATTAATGAGGTCTGTTTGAAACTCGTCAGCTGTACACCCCCAAGTGTTAGAAGCTGGTTAGGGACAAGTCTTGTTGGGGTTTCTTTACAAACTTAATGAGTCAAGAATTAACTTGAGTCCCTTACTCCCAGAAACTGTAAGGACTGAGTGTGTCCCAGAGATGTTAGTCTTGATTGGGGGGCGGGGTGGGGAGGGATGTGGACGGGGAGAGAGGTCACTGAGGACTTTTCTAGAGAAAGCTGTCAACAATGACTTTCCTTCTTAACTGGAGAAAAGGGTACCAGAGGGTGGATGAGAATAAGTGTAGAGAGATGAGAGGTTGTTTTTAAGTAGTTTGGCAAAGCTACTCATAGTTTAATATGATGTTCAAATCAGGTACTTTGCCTGTATTTTAGGTATGGAAGAAGAGAAAGAGAAGCCTAAATTGGAATGAGGTCTAAACCTACATGGAAAAGCTGGATCGAGCCACCATCGAAGACTCATTACCCCCTGGGCTTGGCACTACAGGAGAGGACACTTCAAAGAAAGTGAAATGCTCCTCCACCTCCCCGCCCGAGAGAGGACACCTTTTAGAGAGAAATATATATATATAAGAATACAGTTTTCAAAATAATTCTCCTTCAGTGTGATTTAATGAAATCTTTCCAAATTCATAATTGATAATAACATCTCTTTTTTTCCTCTTCTAGTTTTAAAAACAAACAGGTCCTTGGATTTTAATTTATGCAAATGTAATACCATTAAGAACAAAATTCTATTGTGTTTCTTGCTGATACATTTGTGAAAATCAAAGGGGCAGATGTGGAGAGGCATTCCT